TCAACTCCCAGAATTCCCCAGCCAGCAAGGCTGGTTGGGGAATTCTGGGAGTTGAAGTCCACCCATCTGAAAGCTACCAAGGTTGAGGAACACTGTGCTACAGCTTTCACTTCATGTGCAGAATTGAGAAGTAAGAGAGTTTGGGTTTCCTTGGCCCTAACTTATTTATTTTGGATATAACAAGAGTGGCTTGTTAGGTTAGGGATTATAGCCTAAATTTTAATTAATTGGCAGGCAATCATTCTAAAAATAGTAGCAATAGTTATAATTTTAGCAGTAATAAGCTCTATTTTAATATTTTCTTTCTCAGCAATAGCCACTGGTTTCATAATAAAAGGCATGGCTAGGTGACTGAAACTGCACCCCTTTTAATGTTCATGCAATGCATGTGACACATTAAAAAGAGGTGGGGCTTTGACCACCCAGTTGCATCCGTTTTGAAGCCAGAGACTGTCAGTGTGGATGTCCCTGCTCCAGAGGGTAGGATGAGGAGCAGTGACAATTTGTGTTCATTAAAGCAGTTGGGAGTGAGGGAGGCCCAAATAGCAATGGCTGCGGTCATAAGAAATAGAACCAGAATTAATAGCAGGGTGATGATCCTAAGAAGCCCATGGTTCTCTTTAAGCCCCCCCCTCCCCACGGTCATTCAAGAAAAGTCTTTGCCTTTCCACATTACTGTATCTATCCCTCCCACCCGCCTTGTCTCTTTTTTCACATACACAGAGCATTCTGGCTCCAAAATAGACAGAAAGACATATAGATACAGATACACACACACACACAGTTTATAAAGAAAAATTGACCCTACATTTAAAACAATCCCCCATCTCCAGGAATCAGAAGAAGTTTGGCAACAGCTTTTCTAACATACAAATTTTATTTAAAGGCATAAGCTGTTTAATATCTTAAAATTTTAAGAAATAAAGTTTGTTAGCTGGGAAAGAGCTGTTAGATTTTTCTGATTTTTTGCCACCATAGACTAACATGGTTCTCCTCCTACAAAGCTCCCTGAAAGGAAAATAGATAGGAAAAAGAAGATATAACTGGGCAAACTTTCAGCAGGTAGAACTTCTCTAGCCACTGCCTGGGATGAACGTATAACCAATTCATCTATTCAAGATACATTTCCCAAAAATTCTTTTTACTCTAGTAAATGAACAGATAGAAATTCAATAGGTGGAATACTATAATTATAACTGTTTCTGCCTGTTGCACACTGACCTTTTTCAGTGTCCTGTACATTAACTCCTAGCAAATGAATAATCAATATGTCTGAATAAATTTGGGTATTTTCACTATTCAGATATGACTAATGTACCACCATATGAGAACATAGCAACATATTCCTGTTGCATAGTGGATCATTTCAAAACAACAAGAATGGAGGACTTTTTTAAAATGTAAAATATCAGTCAATAATTTGGGACAGGTTGAAAATGCATAAATGGCACATATCATAAACTGTTTTATTACTGAATATGTTAACTGAATATTAATCTTTTTCCATTTAATGTTGGATAATATCTTACATTTTACAGTGAGTTTGAATTCTTTTAGTAGTCTAACAGGAAATGTTCCATTCTTAAGAATTGTCCCTTCCTCATTCTTGGAGGAATAGTTCTGATTTTTGGACTAATTAAAAATCGGAATTATTGAATGTTCCTGAAGAGGGGGCAAAAGTCACCCATCTGTCCCCCCTCCCCTAAGTCTTTCAGCAATCTCTTTTCCATTCTAATAGGATGCAGTCATACAACTAAAGCACATTGGACTGTTCAGATCAGCTCTAGAGAGAAGACTAAATGTGTTAGTTCAGCTGAGCCACTAGGATAGGCTGTAGTATTTTAAATAATCTTATATCTGTATATAAGTTAATATTCATATCAGTACTGAATATACAATTATCTTCCAAGAAATTTGCTTGTCTATTAAACCAAAGGTAATTGCAAATCATAAGGAACTCAGGAAGGTGTTGAGTCCCACTCCCTAAGGCAGTGAAAGACTTTTCCCCCTGGAAGTAGTTTGTTTTAGATATGTCATGCATCTAAGGAGTAGAGCAAATATTAGGAGATGAATACATTCCAATCCATTTTTTTCTTAAGATGAAAGCAGAGGTTCCCGAGCTTTGCTCTATTGTGACCTCTAAAGCGATAAATGAGTTTATGTCACTTAGCCTATGAAAAAAATAGTTATTTTGTTGGGGTCAGAGTTGGGCAAGAAATACAAAATATTACTTTTAATAATTTCATTTTTAATCTATATATCACAGATGTTCTTAAAACACACTGCACAGGTCAAGCAGGTTCCAGAGCCCAGAGTGAGTTTTGAAAGTCCTCAACTTTTGCCTGTACAAGCCTGATCAGATTTTTGCAACTTCTCCCTCTAAGTTGCTCATGAGCCCCTAGGGGTCACAATGTTTGGGAACCCATGGATTAAAATAAAATTTTCTCAGTAATCTCATTTATTTTCTACCTTTTCTTCCTACTATGTTATTTCTTTTTCTTTTCCATTCTTGGTCCTACTTTCTCCCTCCCACCCCAATTCAACAGTTGTCTGCTATCAGACTGACCGTGATGAACTCCGGCGTCGTGTCATCCAGTGGCTTGAAGCTGAGATTATTCCTGATGGGTGGTTCTCCAAAGGCAGCAACTACACAGAAATCTTGGAGAAGTATTTCAAGGTATAGATGAGAGGAAAGGACAAATAGAGATTTCTGACCTAAATAGTTGATGTACTGTATCTAATATAGCTTAAGGGGTCATGAGTAAAGCAGATACTAGAGGATAATTTATTTTCCACTTTTGAGAGTATCAATAACTTTCTCAATAAAGGAAATTTAATAAGAGTCTGAATTTCAGAAAGCATTTACTAATATTTATTACACTGGGAAGGATATGAAAACTTGTGTGACTACAAATAAGAACAGCTTGAGCTATTTAATATAATCAAGAGCAATGTGCCATTGTGCTCACATCTGCACCCAGATGTCTGTGTACAGGGCCACACTCTTGGGGAAGGGGTGCTGACACAGTGCTGAAGTCTCAGATTTTCCAACATGTTAAAAGACTGCTGATGATCAAATGTCAGTTTATTTCAGGGAAGAAGGCGCTGATGGAAAGTGCTGCTAGTTTAACCGTTCTTAAAGGCTGTTTTGTGATTTTACAGAATTTTGATGATGGAGATTCCCGCCTTGACTCCAATGAATTTTTGAAGTTTGTAGAACAAAATGAATCAGCTGTCAACATTACTACTTATGTGAATCAAGAGACCAACAAGCTTCTCAGGTAGCTTCAGGCAGAGGAATGTCAGAAACTGTAACCCTGACTACAAATGATGATTAATTGTGAAATTCTTTCCTCTGAGAAATGTGTCTTTTTTTTCCTGTGTGCAAACCTATTTTGGAAGCTTTAATTAAAAACAGAAGAATGGCAGAACCCCTGAGCACAGTTACTTTGGCTTTCTTGCATCCCTAAACACTCCCTAATGTCTTCCAATTTTATAACATTGCTTAAACTTGGGCAAAGGCTGGGAGCATTGGAAAGGGAAAACCTTTTTACCCTTTCTTTTTCTAGAATGCCTGTGAGCTACACATGAAGAATGTTGGAGAAGCTTATCTTTCTGTCCACTTACTCAAACTGCCTTTTAAAAAAAAGGTTTGAGGGGAGATCTAATAGCTGCCACATAACGTTTTGTGACAGTGTAGTTACCTAGTTTGTTGAGGGCTCTTTTTGGAAATCAACTTTGCCTGGAGGGTATACGCTCAACTTTTATGTTTAGTAGAAGGGATGGGATATCTTATTTTTACTGGAAAATACATCTGTACAGGTTGCTTGGGTTTTAGGGAGACATTCAAATTCTGCATTAGTTAGTTAGAGAATGGAGGGGAAGGTGTAAGGTGTTTCTCAATCTGGGGTGGGTTTTTTTTGTCCTGATTTTGGTAATTTCATGGGAAGTCAATGACTTTTTCTACATTTTGCCCAGTGATATTTTGGAGAAGGGGGATGTTGTGTGCATTTCGGATTGTTTCTTTTTTATTATTGGGTATGAAGAGCAGAGTAGTGTAGGATTTAAAGGAGGGCTTCTTTTTGCCCTAATGTGTCATTCTCCTGGGTTGGCTTGGTAAAGTGCATTTTAAATAAATATTTCTTGCTTTGTGTATCAAATAACTTCCAGTGATGATTAGGGAGTTCATCAGGAGATAATTCATCAGGAGAAGGGATAATCATTCTGCTACTTCTGTGTACTAGAATCAAGGAGAAGTATGCCATGGGAAAAATCCATTGCCACAAGGTATAAGATAGCCCAAAAGTCTGGTTCATATGAAGAGACCTGATTTGACAGCAATTGATAATTTAAATATTAACTGTTCCTGCTTTTCTGAGATGTGTTTGGAGGTCATTTCCAGACTGGATAACTCTGTGTTGGTATTGGATGTCTTCCAGGGGACTCTGCGTAGATGCCCTCATTGAGCTCTCTGATGAAAATGCTGACTGGAAGCTTAGTTTCAATGAATTCCTGAAGTGCCTCAATCCAGCCTTCAATCCACCAGAAAAAAGTAGGAGTTCTGTGCCTGCACAAAACTGGAATGGAGCCACTAAAAGAGTGGGGAAAGAGTGGAAATAATATTTTGCATACTTGTTTCAAAATCTAGTTGAGAGAATTGCAACATATTTGGACATGTGGCCAGATTTGAAGTTTGTCTTGTATATGGTTATAGGATGCTCATAGGATGGCTGCATATAGGATGTATGCTTATAGGATGACTGCCTGGCACAGGGGGCTCATTTATTCACAGAATGGTTGTCCTAATGGGTTTAGCCAGTCACAAAATAATTGTTCATCAACATACCACACTGATGAAGTTGCTTACCACTGCATATGGTCTCTATTTCCCAACATATTTCTATTGCTTTTTTTTCTAGACAAGTAGGAATAATTCTAGGCAAAGCACCAAGTTGCATCAACCTTTTTTATTTTCTAAGAAAGTACAGTTTTTCTATGCAAAGTTGATGTTTGAGGCTGGTGCCTTGCTTTGCAACATGACAGCTTCATATTTTTTTTATAATTTTAAAAAGAAAAAGAAAATAAAGTCAGGTTAGGCAGGGAGTCTGGAATTCATCAAGAGAGATGTCTGTAGGATCTAGAATGTCTGTTCTAGCATTCACTGCATGTTACAAGTTAAATGTGCACAATGCCACACATCTCCCTGCCTTGACATAATCCTAAATACATTTATTCATAACCCTTGCACAGTCATGGAGAAAATTTTATGTTTATTCAGATGGCTGAAATAAAGAAATCACAGGCTAGGTAAAGACATTTATAACTGGAATATAATTAGGTTAGCAGTCTGTTCTTCCCATGTACATTAAAAATATCTTTCTTTATGGTTGTTTAGAATGTGCCTTAGAAGACGAATCATATGAAGATGGAGCAGAGACCCAAGTGAACTGCAACCGCTGTGTCTGTGCTTGTGGAAACTGGGTGTGCACTGCCATGACCTGTGAAGGTATGTACAACTGGAAAATTCAGAGTCATTTTAGAAAGATCTCTCCCCCCCCCCACTTCCAGGAAAAAAAATATACTGTTCCAACAAGTGGCTTGACCAAATAAATGAAAATACTGGAGAGGAGGGAAAAAGAGATGGAATAACATATTGATCTCACTAATAGCATATCAAGCCAAATTAAGCTTTTTTGACCAAGAAAAGAGAACTGACTTCTGGGGTGAAGAACCTTTCTTGATACAAAGAAGGCAACAGAAATCATGAATTCCATAACTGATGAATAGCTTGTCCGGGCCATAGCTTTCCCAGTAAAATGGAAACAGGCAATGGAGACAACTTGCTTAAGTTAGTCTTAGGACACTATCAGTGAAGACCCTCATGGAAAGGTTTGGGAAAGGAGCCAAGTAGCTGTGTGAAAGCACCACAAGAACTGAGCTCAAGTTGATCAGAAAAGACGAATCTATTGAAATAATTTTTTGAAGATTCACTGCAAAGCATATATAGCAGGCAATACAAAATCAGTATATCATGGTTGGGGAAGAATATTCTGTACATATAAACTCACACATGAAATAATTCACAGACATTGAAGTAAGTGTACATTTTGCCTACTATAAAACAGGTTTCTCCATTTAATCTACTGTCTGATATGCAACTGGGAGCTGAATTTCTTCCAAATATGGGTCTCTATAATTGAGACGGTTCATAAAACCTTGAAGAATTGAATATGACACTTCTTGTTTAGAACCCTAGTAAATTTGTTCATCATAGTTGTCAGTAATTGGTAGTTAAATCTTACTGGGTGGGGATTAGGAACATGAGATTCTGATTTTGCAAGATTTAGGAAAAGGATTGCTTTCTCTGAATCAGAGTGTTCAATTAGAAATCCAAACATGTGGTGCCTCTCATGACAAGCAAGGAAAATCCACAAATTGATGTAACTTTTGGGTAGACTAGAATGATCTTTTTAGGCAAAATAGTTACTTCTGAGAGGGTAAAGAGAGTTCATTTGACTGCAGGAGCATACCCATTGCAAGGGGAAAATTGAGGAAAATTCATTTTATCATCATGACTGCAGAGCAGAGAGTTTGGGGGGAGAATATCAAAGATATGGTGAATGTTCTTTTAAAAAGGAGGAATAGGCAGGAGGCAAAAAGGAGGGCTTGAGCCCTTTCACATGGAAGGGCTGTGCTGACCCAAGATTTGGGCTGCCCTTGTGGGTGCCTGCGACTCGGACAGGTCTTCAAGAGCTGAATGAAAGCTGAGCAGAATTAATTCTGATGCCAGTTGGCTCAGCCTTCAGTCTAGAGGAAATGTTGCAACAGTTTTGCAACACTTTCTTTGAAGCTGCAGGGTGGAGCACCTGGGATTCCCTTTCTCCTTCCAAAAGCCAGAAACCTTGAGTGCCACCAAATGAAGGAACTGCTTTGCCAGCCCCACAACAGTGGCTTGTCTGCTCTTGGAAGAACAGCGTGGAGGTTGGGTTGTGTGCTGTTTTTGACTGGTGGCAGCCAAGACTGATAATGGGGGTGAAGGTAGATCCTCTCCATTGCTAAAGATGGCACATTTCTCCCTTATGTTTTGCCAAAAGATCCAACATCCAAGGACACACTACAGCTCTATGTTGCTCTTTTGTTGAGTATATGAGCTGGTAGCATTGAGTATTGTAAACTCTGCTTCTGTTCATAGGTAAGAACCAGCAGGTCCCTTTTCAAGAGCAGCCTGAAGATAAGCTGACTGAAGAAGAGCTAGCCAGATACGTTCAGGAGCTGCAGAAGCACCAGGTTAGAAGGAGTTATGTGTAAAAGCTTATGTATTTCAATACTTTTATACTGCTAAAGTGCTGTGAAATTCCTAACAGTTTACATCTGTCATTTGTTGGCTGTTGCGTATAACTACTGATTAATAATATAGCTGAATCCAGCACTGTATTTTGGCAAACAACAAGAAATTTGATGTAGACAAATGCATGTCATTCCACACAGGTGGACACAGGCATCCAGTACAAACCATGATGACACCAAAATGATGAAATGCATGCCATGACATTTCATTGCAAACCTCAGACTCTCTTACTTGTGTTCTGATGTTGGATGCAAGTGCATAAATCACATGGTTTGTGTTACAATGTCACTTTACTTGTTCTGTCATTTGCTCTCCTGTCCAGGTGAATGAACAAATTGTTAGAAGGGAAATATCACTGCATTCTTTTGCTACAAAGGTTTTTGACTGAAGGCAATTTTTAATGCGCTAAAAGGATAAGGCGACTTATAAGACTGCTTCAAGCCATGAATCATAAAAATCTTTATACATTAATAAGAACTGAAGAATTATTGAAGGAATAATACCACTCTTTTGCATTCTATGTTTATTTGTTATATCTGCCTTGCCTTCAGGAGCTGAAGGCAGCATATGTAATGTTTCCTCCAATTTGTCTAACTATATGCCATGGGAATATAGTTGTCTTCTGTTGTCTATCCTGAATCTCCCAGTATTAGATGATTCATAAGTTCCAGTAATTTAGGAAAAAGTGTTCCCCCTATCCAATTGTTCTCCCTCTTTCATAATTTTATATGCTCCTGTTATGTTCCCATTTAGGTACTTATTTTTTTCTACATGAAAAAAATCTCAGACATGTTTACCTTTTCTCATAAAGGAGTAATCCATTCCTCTGAAAATCTTGGTTGCCCTTTTAAGATGTAGCAAGCAGAACCATATCCAGTAATTAAAAAGATAAATACTTCCTCAAGTAACCCCAGTTCCTGGTGATTACCTGCACATATCCATATACTTTTCTGGCCACAATACAAAAATGGTTTGCTGTTGCCTTCATCTGGCATGTTTTTTCAACTTCCCAGTCTAGCCAGATTTTTCAACTTCCCAATGATCTCCCAGTGAAGTACTAATTAGGTCTGCCCCAGCTAAGCTTTTTGAGATAGCCAAAGTTGACTGGGGCTGCAGTAAAATACAACAGCCTAAAATGATAATTAGTGTTATTTACAGCCCAAGGCCTGGCGCAATATGGTTCATGGGGTCACGAAGAGTCGGACACGACTTAACGACTAAACAACAACAACAACAGCCCAAGGCTAAAAATACATCAAATACTGTGAATAAAAAAGAAAGAAAGTTACAAGACAAGTCTGAAAAATTTAATAACATAATGAAGGGACCAAATTACTTCAGTAAACTATTGATAGAAATGTTGCAACCTTCTTGAGGGTATCTGGAAATCAGTCACACAAAAGGAGAGTGTGAACCTCTTAATCATAAGAACAGTTACATTTTTTGACAATTGGTTGTATAAGATATGTTCACCTTTGAGTGTACAATAGGAACTTTAGCAGTACATGTGATCCAGATTCTGCCTCTGTATCAGAACAGTGCAGTCTTTATAAGGGAGGCTGTTATGTGTGTGCATTGTCACCGTAATGGGTAACATGTCAGTTTGGGCCAGGGAAAAGAGTCTCCTGTGTGGGACATGTAAGATGTTGGAATATCTAGGGATAATCTGGGGGAGGGGAGGTGGAGAATTGTCTTTAGCAGAGGTGATACTCTGGCTGTATCAGTTTGGATATCTTGGTCCCAAATCCTCTGCTTAAATTCAGCCAAGGCTTTATCAAGACCAAGGGTGCATACTGACAGAATGGAAAAGCCACAGTATGCCGATTTGTGATTAATGTCAACGTGAGGGTGATTGGTTGTGTATCTGTTATCCCACTGATTGCCAGAGTTGATTTGGTGGATATGGTTGACTGGGAGGGTGTCTCCTTCCTCCCTCACCGCTCCCTGTGCATCCCTCCTGATATTGCACACTTGTGGAAGAGGATGACCATATCAGATAGATGGACTGTGCCATTCTTTCAAGGGTATATGATACCTAAATCTTGTTTTCTTTCTTCCTCTCATCTTTCCTTAGGAGACCTCTGAGAAGATCAAGCAAATGACTACCAAAGATATGTGAGAGGAACACACCAGAAGGCACAGTGTGTTACCTGTCTCACCTGCCAATCTTCCTTCAATATGCAAACATGTTTAGAAATTATTGCTCAGTCACAGATATTTACATTGTGTAGCAATGGGAGGGAGATAAAGGAAAATGGATTCTTTTGAAATTTAAAAGAACCTCCCCTCCAATATTATGGCTTCTATAGCAAGGATAAGAAGTTGTACTGATAGAGATTAATGAGGACAGCAAATTACTCCAGTTCTGGAGCTCCTAGAACTCAGGGGAAGCATCACTGTAAACTAGGATCATGGTCTCTTCTGTGGAAGTTGTACTGATGGTGGAGCCTTGCCCTATGACTCTCTTGCTGCCTCTTAGGAATCTCCCTGACAGCCTAAAATATTTTTCCATAAATATTACTATAACTGGAGGAGCTCAATAAGGAAAATAAAATGGCTAAGCATATATTCCATGGCATATCACCTCCTTACACTCCATTTTGATATCTAGCCTTTCTGTCTTCATCTGTCCTTCACTCATCCTTTTTTTCCATATGGTGTTTCAATCAGCACTTCAGTTCCTGTAGAATTCCCCCTAACCCTGCCATTGATTAATGTGCATATCAATGAGAGTCCCTACTAAATAGAGCAAGCTCTTTATCCCTGCCAGAAGCCAGATAACTCCACTGTGAGTTTCAAACTGACCTCATTTTCTTTCCCCCTCTCTTTGCAATGGTGCTACAATATATTTTCTTATCACCTTCTTACACTCTTTTTAATTAATGACTTTTAACTGAGCTTTTTGTATCTTTGATTTATAGATATTGTTTATAGCTTCTGGAAAATGCTGTACTTCTGTGTTCATGCTTTATATTATAGCTGCATGTATCAAGGAAGTAAAATCAGTGCAGCACCAAGGGGACCAAGATCGTATATGGCTGTTCTAAATTTGCCGTTTCACCTTTCACTATAAACAATGTGGTTCATGCGTGGATAGAGCAGAATAGAGTTTTCAAGAGAGATGCCCTACAGCTTCCCACAGAATCAATCTTGGGGGATGGGAGAAGGATGCAGTTCTTGACTTTATTCAAGAATTCATTCAACCCCATTAATTAAATAGAAGGAAACAGTAATGTTTGTCAAGCATGAAGTAAGTACTCCCCATGCTGTTGGGAAGATAGATTAACAAGAAATGTTTCTATGTATCTAGTGCTTCATACTGAGGCACTACTGCTGTCATTCCCAAAGGGAAAGATGTACAGCTGAGATTTGCAGACTTAGAGCTGGTCTGATGGTTTTTGACAACTAGTCCCTAAGTAGAAAAGGAGAATGCACAATGTCATAAATGCATTGCATGTTTTGGTGCAAAATCAATGTGTTTAGGAATTTTGGCAATAAAATCAGGGGATCCAATCTCCTCAGTTGTTATAATAAACATCAAAAGCATTTTTGTTGTTCTTGCATATGCTTAAGAAGGAAATTGGATTCTAGTTTCTGTACAATGTATTTAAATCATGTTGGAGAAACTCATAATTGGGATTAAATTCTGTTGGACTGTATAGAGTCCAAAGAGAGCTCCACCCAGCCATAACATGTTTTTAGTTTCCTTTCCTTTGTGAAAGAGTGATCTTAGGAACTACCTGAATAAAAGTTGATTCTTCTCCAAAGTTAAGCAATCGTGTTGGATGGCGAAATAGTACATGTGCTGAAACCTTGTTCTACCTTGGTCTGATAATTAACTTATGTCCTTGTAAGCATGCTTTGGTTTGAAGCCTTAGTATTATGTCATCATAATTTAGTCATAATTTAGATTTAAGTGTATCTTGATGGAACCTTTTCTTGTCCTATTGGAGTAAAGGCAGGACAATAACTTATCTAAATTGTGTCTAGCCTGATACATGAGCTCAGCCTTTTTTTTCACATATTAAACTGACAGCTCTATAGCGTCACAACAAGAACTTCTGCAGAAGATGATAGCAGGAAAATGCATGATGCTAACTATGTATACCATTTTACACATTTTTGATCCATATAAGCAATAGGTTTTAGCATTAATTATTAATTAATAATCATTAATGATTTTAGCATTAATTTTCCTCTTAAGAGAAGCATCTTAAAATTATTTTGTTTTTTTCTCTCCCTTCCCTTGGCACTAAGTATGAAAGATAAAATTAAAGCTCATTAGAACAGTTCAATGAAAATAATTGGAGAATGAAAACATTGTTTTAATAATTCTTCTCTCATGCATACCTTGAGCACATTTTCTCAGAAGAAGGTATCTTTGTTTCTTGAGCAGTTGTAAACAAATGCATTTAGCATTCTGTGCCTGTGTCTGCTGCCTTACTGCTATGTTTTGCTCGGTTACTCTTGGGTCTCAAAAGGGGATGTTGCTCTAAGTGGACCCTTACCCTCCAATGAGCAAATGAGTTCTAGGCAGTTCCAAGTATGGACTAGAGTTGGAAGTTTAGTATTATAGGCAGTTTATGCAAATTGGAATAGATTAAAATTGTTTGCAATTGGCTGCCTAGTCATTTCCCTCACTGCTTTGCAGGTAGCTATAGCAAAGGGTAGTCAGTGGATTCAGAACAGGAGGAAACCTCACTTCTTATATGGAGGGTTTGTCATCCAGTCCCCACCACAGACCAGGTCAGCTTGTGGAAAGGTGGGGTGACTTTACTGGAGCTGGCAGTCTTGTAAAAAAGATCATTTTGAGCCTGGGGGAAGCAGCTGTTGAAGCCAGACAAAACTGACCTTTGCCCTGTAGTTAAATCACCACTGGTCTGGACCTAGTTGTGGTTGCTCCACCTGGCAAGCCATCACACAGGAAAAAAAAAGAGCAAGCCACGTTAGCCAGGTAAGCTCAACACATTTTTAACTGAATGAAAGAAGCACACTGGCTCAAGTTTTTAAGAAGAACAAAATAGCTGAAGCACATTTTCAGCAGAAAAGGCCTACATCTTCAATACTACAAATGAAAAAGGGCTCATTTACAAGGCAAACAGAAAAGTCACTTCTCACAATCTAATTATAAAAGCAGCTTTATCCGTTCTCTCAATATAGGTTATAGGTTCTCTCAATACTTTATGGGTACCTGCTTCTTTTCTCTACAGCAGGTACCTGTTGCAAAGGTGGAAAGCAAGAAAAGGTCATGATGAGATAACAGGTACAGAAGAGAACATTTATTTTCTCAGTAGTAAAATGGAGAGAAGGACCAGTCACAGGGCAACATAAAAACTAACACAGAAAATCTGTTGCTTGTCTTTTGCATAACGATTTTGTACATCTTTGAACCTGATTCTTCAGTCCCTCAAAATTTGGCACAATATGACATGAACCGTCAGAGCATCATAAAAGTTTGAGCAAAAAGGTGAACAGGCAAGTCCATAACGCTTGGAATATTTCATCTTTTTTTAGTAATTATAGGTTTTCTATGGGGAGAAAGATTCAGAAAAGAAAAAAATACATCTCTGATTTATTTGTTCATGTATTTGTCTATCAAACTGAAAGTAGGTACTAAGGCAGAGGTAGATGAGGTCCATGATTCTGGATATTTCGATCTTAGCGTATTTGGCTAGGTCGGGTATTTTGTGTAGTACTGCTGCCATGGATTCTTTCGCTAGTTCTGGATGTAAAGAGTGCTGTGACATCAAAAAAACTGTTTTTTTGAATTTCTAACATGTAAAAAATTACCCTGCCAAAGATGCATCAATACTATGTACATGTTGCAGCAGCCCAGGAACTGAGTTATGCCAGCCTTGCCAAGTAGCCTACTGCTTTTATGCCAGTTGGAGGCTGGGGACCCACTCATGTAAAACCTGCAGAGTTTTCTGGTTGTTAG